TTGTCGACGGTTTTTCTCAGTTTTTTCTCCACTGTCGTTCCACTTCGCATCTCTATACTCAGTTTCAATCGCCATAATACCCCCTTATTGAGCCCGACTTTTGCCTTTAAGGGAGCCTAGGCACGACCCGCCCTCACCACCATCAACCTTCGGGTGTCCATCATACGAGAGCCGCTCTCCTCACTTCAACCCACACCTTCACCATGATGGCTGTTTCTACAATATCTGATTCTGAGATTAGTCGACACATTTTCTCTCCATTTACTTTCCACTCCATACGCCAAGCTAATTTCACCTATTTCACACAACCCTTTTCTGAAATTTTCGCTTAACTGGATGAAAAACTCGTCAGGCGAAACCCGATCTGTTCTTCCATCGCAAATGACCCCCCCCTCCTCCTTCCCTCGTTTTCACGAGCTCAAATATCACCATTCTACAGGTGGCATACTGTCAAAGTATCTAGAAGTGAAAAAGTCAGAGCTGTGCTCAGCACTGACCACTATATACTGCAGTGAACCTTTGTGAAATTATTAATGAATAGCTAATTAAGGGCCTTCCTGAATCGATGGGAAACGTATCGAAATACGATTTACCACATACCAGAGCTTGGAGGCGATCCAGACTTCTGTGGAGTAAGAATGATTACAGTTGTTTATTTTTGGATACTTATGGGTTATGTTTTAGTGAGCAGCACGCTTGCATTCGTTTATGTTCATTTGAAAGTTGTAAAACTGGACGTATTCCTAACATAAGTCAGAAAAAGCTCACTAAAACCTATCCTCCAAAAGTGTAAACCAAAACGCGCATAGGATTTATCATTTCCTACCTTCCATCATTGTGTACGTGTGTGTCATTAGGTACGGTCGCTGTCAACGTGGCAAAGCAAAAGCACCGCTGCACTGGCTTTCTTCGTCGCGCGCAGCACTACGGGTGTGGTGAACATGTGTACTGCTTGCAGTCGCCTTAGTGGTGGCGCTACAACCGCGACCCGTCCCAGGACCGAAGCACCCAGATCGCGTGTATGTTTGAGTGCATATTTCACCGTTAAAA